AGATTTTGGATATTCCGCAGGTGCAGATTTGGCGTTGGCCTAGGCTGATTTATACGTTGGATTTGGTACGAGAGCCTATGCTTTAGGAACAGGATCAGGCCCCATAGCTTAAGGTGGATCGGATCCTACATACTTTTCACACAGACAAACGCAAAATTGGAAAAGAAATCATCAACTTCAACTGCTTCATGCCCCGAATCACAGGTATTCTTATTGTAGTTATATACAGACCCCACATTGGCTTGGCTACTGGAATCATTTATTTCCCTCTATTCTAGCTTCAGATTCTTAAGATTAGGGGTAAAGAGGTTTTCTTTGGATGTTTCGGTGGGTTCGGATGAAAGAGAAAAATCTGACTCCTTAGTGGATGATTCGGCATCCTCGGGTGCTTATGTGTATGCTTTTTCAGTTTAGGAAATGAAAATGGAATCCTATTTCTAGGCCTTTTGAAACTCGGTTTTAGGCTTGAACCTTCCCCTTAGGACCAAGCAAAGCTTGACATTAGCAAATGCTCATAACATCCTTGCTTTCTCGATATCAGTAATTAAGGATCTCTCCTCCTTCTGTCTGGTAGATGCAAGCAAGAAAATGAATATCAATATGTATAAATTCTGTGAGCAGCGATTGAACTGAACGTTCCAAGTGCATCCAGCAGGAATCGAACCTACGAATTTTCCCCTTTATTAGGTCGGTATAGGTTGGGCGCTTTAACCATTCAGCCATGGATGCAAAGAGACTCAACGAGTGAACTAAGTTTTGGTATTCCTTCTCAAGCTTCTATTTCTTCCGTTAAAGGAGATTCGGGAAAAGATGGAATAGGAAGACGTGTTTCCAAAACGAAAAAGATACGGGTTGAGAAGGGGAAGTTAGCAAAGTTAGACAAGATTGGAATGGGCATAGGAACATGTATTGATGTACCAGATCTGCTAATGCTCCCAGGTTGATGCGATGTATTCCACAAGTTGACTGAAAACTTGATTATTGGTATATCGATCGGTCCAACACTGATTGAAATAGAAGCCGGTTTGACAGGAAGCTTTTGAAAACGCAGTGCACCCAGGTAAATAAGGAACGAGATGAATAGAGAGATTAAACGAGCATCCCACACCCAAAAGGTGCCCCACATAGGTCTCCCCCGAAACCCCTCAGTCACTAAAGTAAACAACGTAAAAAAAGCACCATCTGTACCAGTTCCGGAAGAGAGAAGAAAAAGGGGATGTTTTGTTAATAGGAAGAAGAAAGTGTTTATAGCCGTAGCAATATAAACAAGAATACTCATCTGAGCCGCAGGAACATGTACATACAAAATACAAGAATTTCCACCTTGTTGAAGATCTAGTGGTGCTACTCGAAGACTTAAATGAATAGCCATCGGTGTTAAGAACAACCGAGATCCAATGAGAATTTGCGCATAGCTTCTGGTCTTTGACATAAAAAAAGAAGGTTGTAATAACGAAAAAGACGTGTGAGAATTTTGTCCTAGCTAGTGGAACAAGAAAGACATGCATCCATATTCTATACACAATCAAAGGATTTCCCTTAATGAAGAATTCCCCCTTGGCTTTGTTTTCGCTCCGCTCGTGCGTGGCACTCCTTGCTCGCTCCGCGGCATACCGAAAAAATCAAGGTTTTGGTTTTGAAAGCAAAAAAAAGTGGATTCCCTTTTGTGACCAAGAGCCTATCCTTGATCCAAGCCGAGTTTTTCATTCCTTAGCTTGGTGCAAAAGGCTGATCGCGGGTCCTTTTTCGAGCCCATCTCCTTCTCTTGGACCACGCCTTTCGGTCTCATTGAGCTTTCGGCTCTCATATGCTACTGGGTTACCTTATGATATGAACTAAAAAACATCAATCATACAATATACTTCAATGACAATGTGAAGAAAAAGTTGTCAAAATTATCAAAAGATGTTTCAATGCATGCCACATTGAAGAAGAGTGAAGTTTGATTGTTATAAATTTTGGGTGGGTTACAATTTAGAGTTTTTAGGACTTTTTATTTACTTTAGGTTACAATTACATAATGGTTAATTATGACCATTAAGTATGAATGTTACAATTCTTGGAATGCCTAGTAGTTTCATTTTGAGGCTATATAAAGCCATGTATGTTGTATTTGTAAGAGATTTGGAAAATATATTGTAAAAGGAGCATTTGTGCTTTCTTTAGCCAATGACTAAGTTTATTTGCAATTCTATGTAGTTTAGGTTGCATGTAGAATCATTCAAGCTCGACATGATCAATCTTGCTTGTGGAGTGATTCGAATCTCAAACAAGTGTTTGAGATATTTGATCAACAAGAATCATTCAAGCTAGACATGATCGATCTTGCTTGTGGAGTGATTCGAATCTCAAACAATGTTCTAGCCTTGAGATATTCGATCAACAAGGTAATCCGAATCTTACTCCCCTTGTAGTGGTTCTTTATCTTATCACCTTACCTTATTGTACTAGCACACCGCCTATGGCATAGTCTGACGCATCCGTGTGTACTTCAAATGACTTAGTGTAATCTGGCAACTGCGATACGGAGTCATCAATCACTACCTGCTTGTTGTCCTCAAAAGCTCTTTGACACTTTTCCGATCAGTGAAATGCCAAGTTCGTACGTCCTTCTTTAGTTTAGGAGATTTTGGAGTTGAGCAGCCCTCTTCGAGTAACTTACCATGAATCTTCGGTAATAGTTCACGAGCCCTAAAAATGATCTTAGCTCACTCACCTTGGTAGGTGCTTGCCACTCCTCGCTCTGATGCTCCTCCAATGCCCTAGGAATAGGATCTCCATCTTTACATAGAGGTGATTCTTCCTTAATACCTTACGGTTCGGAGGTGGCTAACGTGGTCGTTTAACGAAAAGCTATAGCCAAGTATATCACCTGTCGTCTAAGTACGGGTGGAATAGCTCATTGTGGAGGGTGCAGAACGTGGCAGGGGCATTGGTGAGTCCAAAAGGCATAACCAAATCAACCCTTTATTAGTCAGGCTGCTTGCTTGTCACACAGGTCGTCTTTGGCTCGTCTCCTTCCGCGATACGCACTTGGTAGTTGCCCGACTGTAGATCCAACTTCGAGAAGTATCTCGCATTTATTGATTAGGGCGAATCAGTCCGCAATCAAAGTGGATACTTGTGATTGATGGTTAGGTTACCTTGTTGAGCGCCCGATAATCAATGCACAAGGCTACTTTTCTGGAATAAATCAAACAAACAGGGGCTCCACAACAAAGGGGGTTTGGCTCCAGGCTTCCACTCGATCTTGTGGTAGACCGCCCTTCTAGGCTAGGGGGCACTTGGCAACTCACTCGTGGGGCATGATACCCAAAAATGACTCAAGTACTTGCTGCACTTCCTGAGAAAGAAGTCGTCTTGGTATTGGATTCGCTCTTCTGTTAGCATGAACATGAATTAGATTTCTTCTTTATTCTTAAGAGAACCCCCCACCCGAACCATTCTTAAGACCACCAAGCCCTCTCGAATGAGTTCGACTATAGAAGCTTTCAACGTACACCCAGGGACAAATCTTTCACTCACTGAGAAGTGAAAACCTGTGACTAGATCGTCCTAAAGACAGATGCGACGGGAATCAGTGGCATTTGGAAGTGTTGCTGACTTAACATTTAGGTTTCGGCATAATAAAGCTTGCACTGTCTTTTCGCACTTAGGCGCATAGCGCGCCATTGGTAATGATTCGACTACGGTACCACAAATTCACAAACTGATCCTAAGTAATCATTGTTGTTCATTGGATTCCGGAGGAACTATTTCGTTAGGATTGGGAAATTGCTGCGATTCGTCCTGAATAGCTTGGATTCTCCCATCGAGAGTCGCTTTGAAAGTCTTACCTAAACTCTGACGAATGAATATAATAAAGCCTATAAAACAACAAGCTACTATCATTTCTTCATTATAGATTGAGATCTTCTTCGAACTTAATGCACAAATAGATAGAATAGCAGCAAATAGCATCTTTCTAGCCTGCATATTCGTGGAACTCCATCTCATTTATCAAGCTTCTCTCTATCTTTCAGCAACTGAATGGGAAGTGGTTTAGGAAAGGACTTTCTAATCGGATGCGCTCGCCCAGCGAGAAAGGCCCCGACCCTGCCAACCAAGTCCAAATCAAAAAGAAAGAAGAGAACGAGAGAAGAGAACTTCGTATTTTGGTAATTCTCTAAGAGTCATCTTTAACCTTGAATGCTATTAAGAAATTCTACAGCAATAGTCCCTCGGACTCGGAAAGTCATAACGAAAATGGCTAACCCAACAGCAGATTCCGCAGCTGCCACCGTTGGAACCAATGAAGCAAATGATTGACCCATCATATCATCCGAAGAAAGGGAAAATACCAAAAAGTTCGAATTCACAGCTAATAACATTGATTCAATTGGCATTGACATAATAGGAATATTTCATCTATTAAGGAGGATTCCCCGAATACCTAAAATAGAGATGATCATAGAAAATGTGAAATATTTGATAGGATCCGTTTCGGGAACGTAGAATGTCAGAGAAATTCAAATGTTATAACTCCAGTACGTCAGGAACCCTATGTCATTGACAACCCCTGATAGAGGGCATAGTGGATTAGATCCAGCAAATTGAGGAGCTCCTCGCATCCCCAACTATGAGTGCCACATAACATCACATCATAGTAGGCATCCGTTAGAAAGTCGTGTTGAATAGCTTAATCCGCAAGCATTGTCTGAACAAGGTCAGACATGGTCCATTCAGGGGGTAATCTACTCCCGGCTTCATGCACACACCTGCTGTATTCAGTAAAAATTTGACCAAGTCAGGCGTCGGACGCTGTTGAAGAAAGAGTTGAAGAGGTAGCTGAAGAAGGGAAGGAAGTCAAATCTGTATCTATCATAAGGTGGAGCTAAGTGTTGGATTATCATATAGTATGAGCTTCGTGCTATTCATTTGTTTTGAAACTTTTCTTTGACTGCTCTGTTCCCCCCAAAAAATGGGAAAAGACTTTTTGGAAATCACCGGCGGTTGGTTCGGACATGGGACTTTTTGGGCGTCAAAGTGCTTCTCCTCTTAGTCAATTTGAAGAAAGAAATTTACTTTACTAGCAGTATTATGAACAATCAGGTAAGAAAATAGAAATGGAGTACCCTGAGGTAGATTACAACCCTCATCGTGTAGGGCTACAATTTGGATTCGACCAGGGACTGCCAAGCTAATATCCGCCTACATCACCACTTTTGTTTGAAGGAGGATCAGAAACCAGCTAAGGCACCGTAGCGTCCCCTAAAGGCGTAACTGACAGGTTCTATTCTATCTGCCCATCCGAGTCATCCTGTACTGGGTTGGTAGCCGAGGCCGTCAGATTCATGATGTCACGTCATCAGGCGTCATCTAAGAGAGCTTACCTGGGACTCGGTAAACACAAATATGCAGATGCAGATTGTTAGCTTGAAACCCGAATGGACTGGGTTAGAAAGACTTAAGGTGTTCTTTTAGATTGATTTGACAGGTGTTCAGAGGCTGGGAGTATAATGAGGATTGGGAAGAGGCAATGGAATTGTGAGACCAATATAATGGGTGAAGGAGCGAAGCAATGAGACCGATAGCGAGAGGAGCAAGAGGAGTGCTCTTTGTAGCTAGCTCGAGGTCAGCGTGACACTATGACTGTTTACAGTGGAAAAAACCCATTCTACCTCTTCAAACGCCAGTGGTACCATTTCTTGTTTTGACTACTATTGTATGTTATGATCATTTTGATTTGCTGCTACAAGGTCAGATACCGAGAAAGCAAAGGAATTTGACACTGCAATAACTACAGATGACATCCATACTCTCACTGTTGGTATGAATTCATCAATGTGGATACCCACTAGTCGGGGATGTATAACTAATATAACCACATTGACAGCTGGAACTTCATTAGCAGTAGTGGACGCAAGAGCATACTTCCCAACACAAAAGCCAGGATTGGAATAACCTTTGCTTCCGGCCCCTTATTGCTCAGGGCTGGATTCTTTTCATTCACCTTCTAGTGACTCTTGTGAACTCATAGCATTCTCTTCACTTAACGGCTTACCCATGGGATATCATTAGATAAGGGCTCCCCCATCTTCTTTTCCAAGCTTTTCACCAGCTCAACCGATTGGCTTACCTAGGCAGGGACATGTTTCACCGTAGCTAGTCGAGCCCAACATGAACTAAGCTCATTTTACACCGCTCATCAGATAGTGTTATGGGATGGTCTAATTGGGGTAGCTATTCATAAAAAGGTTGCCCAGGGGTCCGAGTATATCTAGTGAGTCTTACCGAGGAATATCTTAAGGTGGGTAATCAATCCTATTTAGCTATCTCTGCCGAAATATTCTCTGTGAGTTGGTCTATCTTCCAAAGGAGTCTCAGCGATCCCAATCAGTAGTTATTTCTTACGCAGTTCAGGCATTGGTGATCTCAGTGGCTGATTCAGGGTTAAGCCAGGGTCCCGATATAAGTGGCCGAGATCTTCTCTTTGTGTCAATCTATGGTATTCCGTATCCGTGGTATCCTCCGCTGCAGTCAAAGTTGTTGGGCCTTCCTACAAGGTTATAAAGTCTCTTCCCTCACCGCAGTATCTCTCGCTTCCAGTCGAATTAATAGTTGGAATTCTTCCTCAGGTGCAGTATGTCAAGCGGTATCCTATCTTTTTCCGGTCTCTAGGTGATATATTCAAATAAAGTTAGCTATCTGGGTAGAAATCCCCTGGGTAGGAAAGAACTAGGTGTTGATTCACTTGGCCTGGCTATCTTTGAAAACCAAGAATCAGGGATATTTCAGCGCTTACTGATTCAATCACAGCTGATACGCATTCAATTGCAGCTACTTCGAAAAGCCTATTTAGTTAGGCTATGTAAAGAGACTGGCTTCCCAGCACGAACGTCTTCTCTTTCTCTCTTGCCGATTCCGAACTCCTGGCCGACTAAAACAAAAATGGAAATGCAGTTGATCTTCTTGCAGCTGAGAGAGATACTGGCATTGAATGAAGCTGATTCCCCCTTATTGGAAAGAAATCAGTCTAACCATATTTGATCATCCCCCGCCTCTCTCTCAATCTCATCTGCGGATATCCCTCTCAATGGATCCCTCTTGCCAGTGTCGGGGAGAAGTGGTTGCTACGCTTCCTTAAGTAGAGTGCCAAGAGCTTGTAGAGAGCTATCAATCATTCCACATTCACTCAGTTGACTAAAGATGAAACCATTTTTTCTTGAGAGATGCTTTGAATAACGTAATCAAAATGAAGTACCCAAGCGCGGGATGAGCCTTTCTTTAGGGATTCCACTTTCAGGTGCGGGACTTCGCAAGGTTTTGCCAAGAATCCGCTTTTACTGTTCACGACTCCGATCTTCTTTAATGGAGAAAGGCGTTGACACATGACTGCATTTCAATGCTTCAACTGTTTCAGTACGTGGAAGAACCTTCTTTCTCAGCCGATTAGCTTTCCTTCTTGCCGGACCGATCCCAACAGTAGCCGATCCTAGCCCAGGGAATGAGACTGAGGCTCTTTTCCTATCAGAAGTGAGCCAAGCTACCTTTTCATACTAAAGAACTTATAAGTGTTGAGACTCAAAGTCAGGAAGGACTCCACCTATCTAGCTATCCATTTTAGAGCTGTAAATAGAAGAAAGCTACAATCTCATAAAGCTTACAGGCAAGGCGTTGAAAACCTCCGCTCTTGGCTAGCATTCAGACTGCCTTAGTTAGCTACATCCCTTAGGGTTTAACATCCAGAAAGTCAAGCAGCGAGCTATCAAACAATCAGTCGTGAACTCCAGAAAGGAAAGAAAGAACTCCAGCAAAGAGAGCATAGACGGGTTGATAAGATATGGAACCACTACAAGGGGAGTAAGATTCGGATTATCTTGTTGATCAAATATCTCAAGGCAAGAACATTGTTTGAGATTCGAATCACTCCACAAGCAAGATCGATCATGTCTAGCTTGAATGATTCTTGTTGATCAAATATCTCAAGGCAACAACACTTGCTTGAGATTCGAATCACTCCACAAGCAAGATTGATCATGTCGAGCTTGAATGATTCTACATGCAACCTAAACTACATAGAATTGCAAAGAAACTTAGCCATTGGCTGAAGAAGAGCACAAATGCTTCTTTTACTATATTTTTCAAGTCTACCTACAAATACCACATACATGGCTTTATATAGCCTCAAAAATGAAACTATTAAAGACATTACAAGAGTTGTAACCTTCATACTTTATGCCCATAATTAGCCATTATGTAAATGTAACCTAAGGTAAATAAAATGTCTTAAAATATAATAACTCTAAATTACTCTAAATTATAACCCACCCAAAATTTATAACAATCAAACTTCTTTCTTCTTCAATGTGACATGAATTGTCACCTTTGCATAATTTTGACAACCTTTTCTTCACATCTTCATTGAAGTATATTGTATGATTGATGCCTTTTGGTTCATATCATTCTCCACTTCTTCAAGAGGATTCGTCCTCGAATCTATTTCTGAAACTTTGCTGCAAAAAATAAGTTATGGAAATACAAAGGACCTCACAACACTCTCTCACGTGTATACACTCAAGGAATTTGGCCACCCTGTTTGCACTCATTTACACAAATGAATCTCTCATCCTCACCTCAAATTTTCTAGTAGAGCGCAGATTGGATTTTTTATTTTGGGTCGATTAAAAACTAAAAAGATAAAAACAAATTGAAAAGAAATGCAAAGGAAACATATATCCGATCTTGAGCCTGAAGCTCTGATACCAAATGATAAGATAAGAAACCACTACAAGGGGAGTAAGATTCGGATTACCTTGTTGATCGAATATCTCAAGGCAAGAACATTGTTTGAGATTCGAATCACTCCACAAGCAAGATCGATCATGTCTAGCTTGAATGATTCTTGTTGATCAAATATCTCAAGGCAACAACACTTTCTTGAGATTCGAATCACTCCACAAGCAAGATTGATCATGTCGAGCTTGAATGATTCTACATGCAACCTAAACTACATAGAATTGCAAAGAAACTTAGCCATTGGCTGAAGATTTACTATATTTTTCAAGTCTACCTACAAATACAACATACATGGCTTTATATAGCCTAAAAAATGAAACTATTAAAGGCATTACAAGAGTTGTAACCTTCATCGTTTATGCCCATAATTAGCCATTATGTAAATGTAACCTAAGGAAATAAAATGTCTTAAAATATAATAACTCTAAATTACTCTAAATTATAACCCACCCAAAATTTATAACAATCAAACTTCTTTCTTCTTCAATGTGACATGAATTGAACACCTTTGCATAATTTTGACAACCTTTTCTTCACATCTTCATTGAAGTATATTGTATGATTGATGCCTTTTGGTTCATATCACGGGTACTGCTACTTTCAAGCCTAAGGAAAATAGCAAGACAGGGGTTCTCACTAGTCTTTCCAGCCGGATGAATTAATGCAATGGAACTCAATCACTTTCAGAACCTTTACAGGAGAGTCAATTCATTCAATCCTGAACTTGACAGTCGAGTAAATGAATTAGCTGCTTTCGTTCGGTGAATAAGAAGAAGAAATCCTCAAATTCTTCTTTCACTCGGTAAAGAGCTATTTGAAGAACCTTCCCCTGAACTAGTGATACTGAGGGAACCTTCTTTCACTCAAACACTCTTTGACTCTCCCGACTGTAAAGACTCTCGATTAATTATCCTGCTCAATCACCTGAACCTTTTCCTATCCGAGTTGGAAGTTCAGGAGACTCCTTATAAATTATCCTGCCCTTGAACCTGTCCTTAACACCTCAACGAAATCTATTTGAGAGTTCACTGTCAGACTCAACTCAAGATTCATTCGTTATACTTTCTCGGGATTTAGGGCCATTTTTCCTTCAAACACTTCCAACTCCTGACTTACTCATTAACCGTAACCTGTCCCTTCTTTCATTGAACGAGGTAAAGCATATTCAGTAGCTCTTTTCTTGAACTGCTTTTTCTCCTGACCCTTATACTCACTCTATTCCCTGACCTTCTTGAACAGTAAACTGATTCGCCTCTCCCTATTTCTATTTATTCCTTCAAACACGAACAGTAAAGAAAGACTCAAGGAAAGACTCAACTCAAGATTCATGGGAGCTATAAGTCAAGACTCAAGATTAATGAGAGAGAGTTTACGAACGGAACTCAATGCACCTTCTTTCCCTTTTTTCCTCTCCTGCCTGTAAGGTAAGAAAGATTAATGATCGAGACTGAACCTTTAATTAGACGTAACAGGAAGTCAAGAGGAAAGAAACCTTAACTTAACCCTTTTACTGATGGAATGAGGGAGGGTTGAACTATATCTGATCCTTTCTTGCTTTCACTCTTTTATTCTTTCACTGATCTGGATCCTCTGCCTGCCTACTTACTCAACCTTAACGCTTTTCCTTCTTTCACTCCAGAACCCCGTAAACAAGTTCAGATTCAACAAGAATGAGAGAGAACTCTGCTTCAGCTTTTCTTGACTCTATGACCTATTTTTGATGTGATTTTACAAGGTAAATAGAATAGGTCTTTGATTGACCGAATAGTAAACTTAGGAAACTGGAGGATCAGCTCATGAAACTGCCTGCCCCTAAACCGATGGATATTTCTTTCTTTCACTCTTTTACTTGACTGTCTTGCCTGTATGTAAGAAAGAGTCATTCTCCTTCACTCTCTATTCTATTGATGGATTCTTTCTCCTGCCCCTGAACCTATTTACCTTATGAATGAAATCAGGGAGATGAAAGCCGCTAATGTACTCTCCCTTCACTGTAAAAGATCAATAAATACTAAAGATTCCTTCTCATGAACCTCGTAAACTATCTCTCTCCTGAACAGGACATGGCCGGTCTCTGATCTCTTCTCTGTTCTTTCATTAAGGACTCAACTCAAGATTCAACCTCAAACCTGAACCTATTTATTCCTTCAAACACGAACAACAGTAAATAAAGACTCACTATCAGACTCCACTCAAGATTCAACCTCAAACCGGAACCTTCTTGCTTTCTCTTCTCCTTCTTGAACTGATCTTTCTCCTTTCAAAGACTCTTTTACTGTCCTGTGTAAGTAAGAAAGATTAATTCGACTCAATTCCTTGCAGCTCAATCACCTTCCCCTATTTATTCACTGTAAAGTGGTGAAGTAGCTAATGAATTTCCTCTCCCTGAACTGTAAACAAGGGAAAGCCGCTAATGTACTCTCTTTCCCTTTTCCTATTGATTCTTTCGCTCGGGGTAAAGCAAAGTAGCTGGCTGATTGATCTGACCTCATTCCCTTCTTTCTTTCACCTATGAATTCTGAGTAAACTCCTGGAGTAGTATTACTTACTTCTGACCCACCCTTCTTTCACTCTTGCTGAGCCTATACCTATTTATTCTTTTTCTTCTCTTTCTCCTCTCGCAGCTACTTATTCACTTTTTGATATGAACCAAAAGACATCAATCATACAATATACTTCAATGAAGATGTGAAGAAAAGGTTGTCAAAATTATCAAAAGATGTTTCAATTCATGCCACATTGAAGAAGAATGAAGTTCGATTGTTATTTGTCAAAATTATCAAAAGATGTTTCAATTCATGCCACATTGAAGAAGAATGAAGTTCGATTGTTATAAATTTTGGGTGGGTTACAATTTAGAGTTATTGTATTTCATTTATGTATTTTAAGACTTTATTTACTATAGGTTACAATTACATAATGGTTACCATTAAGTATGAATGTTACAACTCTTGGAATGACTTTAGTAGTTTCATTTTGAGGCTATATAAAGCCATGTATGTTGTATGTGTAAGGGACTTGGAAAAATATAGTAAAAAGAAGCATTTGTGCTCTTCTTTAGCCAATGGCTAAGTTTCTTTGCAATTCTATGTAGTTTAGGTTGCATGTAGAATCATTCAAGCTCGACATGATCAATCTTGCTTGTGGAGTGATTCGAATCTCATGGAAGTGTTCTTGCCTTGAGATATTTGATCAACAAGAATCATTCAAGCTAGACATGATCGATCTTGCTTGTGGAGTGATTCGAATCTCAAACAATGTTCTTGCCTTGAGATATTCGATCAACAAGGTAATCCGAATCTTACTCCCCTTGTAGTGGTTCCTTTTCTTATCATTTGGTATCAGAGCTTAAGGCTCAAGATCGGATATATGTTTCCTTTGCATTTCTTTTCAATTTGTTTTTATCTTTTTAGTTTTTAATCGACCCAAAATAAAAAAAAATCAAATCTGGGCTCTACTAGAAAATTTGAGAGGTGAGGATGAGAGATTCATTTGTGTAAATGAGTGCAAACAGAGTAGCCTAAAATTCCTTGAGTGTATACACGTGAGAGAGTGTTATGAGGTCCTTTGTATTTCCATAACTTATTTTTTGCAGCAAAGTTTCACAAATAGATTCGAGGACGAATCCTCTTGAAGAAGTGGAGAATGATATGAACCAAAAGACATCAATCATACAATATACTTCAATGAAGATGTGAAGAAAAGGTTGTCAAAATTATCAAAAGATGTTTCAATTCATGCCACATTGAAGAAGAATGAAGTTTGATTGTTATAAATTTTGGGTGGGTTACAATTTAGAGTTATTGTATTTCATTTATGTATTTTAAGACTTTATTTACTATAGGTTACAATTACATAATGGTTACCATTAAGTATGAATGTTACAACTCTTGGAATGACTTTAGTAGTTTCATTTTGAGGCTATATAAAGCCATGTATGTTGTATGTGTAAGGGACTTGGAAAAATATAGTAAAAAGAAGCATTTGTGCTCTTCTTTAGCCAATGGCTAAGTTTCTTTGCAATTCTATGTAGTTTAGGTTGCATGTAGAATCATTCAAGCTCGACATGATCAATCTTGCTTGTGGAGTGATTCGAATCTCATGGAAGTGTTCTTGCCTTGAGATATTTGATCAACAAGAATCATTCAAGCTAGACATGATCGATCTTGCTTGTGGAGTGATTCGAATCTCAAACAATGTTCTTGCCTTGAGATATTCGATCAACAAGGTAATCCGAATCTTACTCCCCTTGTAGTGGTTCCTTTTCTTATCACCTTTGCTCAGCTTTGACTGATTGAACAAGGTCTCGTGGCTTCGAACCTCTCTTTATTCTTTCACGAGGTAAATGGGTTGGCTGGCTTCTCTCCTTCAATCCTTCTTGCTTTCAGAAGGTAAAGCATATTCATTCATTCCGTAGCTCTTTTCTTGAACAAGGTAAACTTCCCTATATACACAAAGAAGATTCTATTCTTGTAACCCTGCTGCATTGGACTGATTGAAGAAGGTAAAACATATATATTCAGTAGCTCTTTGACCCTATCTATGGATTGATTCTTTCACAGCAGTAAACTCATTCACCTTCTCTTCTTTCCCTGATCTTTCTCTGGAACCTACTCTACTTCCTCCTTCACCTTTTCCTGATTGACCGAGGTAAATTGGCTGGCTGGCTGGCTTCCTTTTCTGATATTCCCTTCATTCAGTGATTGTTTGTTATTCTTTCACTATGTCTTGAACAAAGATGAATTCGACTTCACTCCTTGTTTATTCACGGTAAAGGAAGAGAAAGAGAAGCTCAATCTCCTGAACTGATATTACCTAACCTGATTGAAGAAAGATTTGCTCTGTCTGGTATAAAGAATGAAAGAAGAAGACAATTCTGCCATGGGGTAAATGGGTTGGCTGGCTGTATGAGAAAGAAGAAGGGGTCAAGCTCCGGAACCTATTGATGGATTCTTTCTCCTTCCCCTATGTATTCTTATTCTTTAACTGATCTTGCTTGATCCTTTCACTGTAAACCTTGACGACCTGATTTAACTCCTTTTTACAGTTCTACAATCAATGAATTAGCTGACAGGAGAGGAAAGACTCCTTATGAATGAGAGTGCACTCCTTCTCCTACTGATTTCACTCATTCGACTTCCCTTCGCTACTTCACCTTTACAGTTACAGTCGGTAAAAGAAGCAAGATTAATTCGCCTTCTCACCTATTTATTCTGTCATTTCACTCTTGAACAAGGGGGAACGAACAGTAACCAAGGTAAATAGGCTGGCAGGATGATCTGCTCCTGACCCTTTTTACACAGTAAACAAGGTGGCTTCGCTCCTTTCCTTTAGAGTCTAGTAAATTCATTCAATCCTCTTCGTTAGAGTCTCACTGCTTGCTTCGTACCTTTCCTCTTAATTATCCTATTTATTCACACTTTAACTACTCTCGATTCATGATAGTTTCCGAACGGAACTCATTCACCTCTGCCTTCTTTCAAAGACTGTAAAGTTCGCTACTTCTCTTTCTCTTTTCTTTCCTGACCCTGAAAACACAGTAAAGTAAACTCATTCACCTCTGCCGCCTATTTCTTCTTTCTTTCATTGAACTCAAAGACAGGGTAATTTGTTAGTAGGAAGTCAATCCTCAAGATAAACCCTTCCCCTAAACCTCTATTCTTGAACAGTAACCAAGGGAAAGCCTCAAGCAAGATTCATTCTCCTTCTTGACCAAGGTAAAAGCCAAAGAGAAAGGCAAGACTCAAGCAAGAGTTTACGAACTGAACTCCGCTCGCTACTACCGGTCTCATGGCTTTGCTCCTCTTCTCGTCTCATTGGTTTGTGCTCCTTTGCCTATTTATTCTTTCATTTCACTCTTGACCAAGGTGGAAAGCTGAAAGATTCATTCTAGATCTTCTCCTTTCTTTTACTACTCTAAAGCAATGCAATTATGTGATCACAAGATAGCTTTAATCAATCTACGTTCTGACTTTTTTCACTGTGGTTTTACTATCACTCTGCCGCTGTTGCTAATTCATTTCCTCGACTGTAAACACTCTTTTCCTTATTCCTTCTCATTCACCTGCTTGAACAAGGTAAACTGGCTGGATGGAGGATGATTCTTACTGGGATTGAGGGAAATAGGCTGGCTGGATGAAAGGTCAAGCTCACCTATCGGTCTCATTGCTGCGCTCCTTCCCCTCTGCCTTCTTTAACTGTAAACTCGATCTCTTTGCTTTCCTTGGATTCTGCTTGAAAGACTCCGAAAATGAGATTAAGCGAAACTCACTCCTTTTCCTTCTTTCACTCGGTAAAGCATATATATTCTTTCTCCTTATGAATTCTCCTTTTCCTATTTCTTCTTTAACTGTAGGGAATGGGAATGGAATCTTAGCTCTGTCTCTGATCTTGATCCTTAATTCTTGAACAGTAACCAAGGGAAGGAAAGCCGTTAATTCATTTACTCTCGCTGATTGCCCAAGGTAAATGGGTTCAGTAGCTCTTTTCTTTCACTGGGTCTGTTCTCTTTTCTTTCCCTTCCCTTATTGACCAAGGTAAATAGGTGTTTTCTTTCACTGATCTTTCTCGCAGCTACTTACTCATTCACCTTTCTTTTCCTGATGGAACTGGGTCTCGCAATTCCATTGCCTGAACTACTCAATCTCAAACCTTCCCCTTTTCTTTCCGATATTCCCTGCTGACCTGATTTTGGAACTGTCAACTCGGTCTCACAATTCCATTGCCTTTTCCTATTTATTCTTTTTTCTCCTTGTTCTCTGAATTGAGTTTTTCTTTCTCTTCTCATTCACCTATGGCTGGATGATTCTTTTTCTTGTCTTTCTCCTGAACTCCGTAACCTATTCTCGTCGTCTTCTTTCTATTCCTATGGATGATTCTTTAACTGTAAACACTCAAGCAAGATGAGAGAGAGTTTACGAACTGAATGAATGAATATGCTTTACCGAGTTCAAGAAGGATTGAAGGAGACTGAACCGACACCCTTTTCCTTCTTTCTCCTGAACCTGAACCTTCAAACACTTGGGTTTCACTATTCTTTTACAAGGTAGTAAATAGGTTGGTTATTCTTGATCTTCTCCTTTCTTTCACTTGGTAAGGTAAATGGGTTGGTTGGTTTAGTAGCTCTTTTCTTTCACGAACTGTATGTAAAGACTCTTGATGGATTCTTTCTCCTTCACAGGACGTATGGCCGATCTCTTCTCTCTTCTTTCCTTCACCTTTCCTAACAAAATAGGTAGGTGTTTGTTCGCTTCTTTCTCAGGGAATGGAGTCTCGAGTCAAGCAGCTAATTCATTTCCTCTCCTGTAAAGGTTCTTCAAATAGAATCCTCTCCTGTAAAGGTTCTTCAAATAGAATCCTATCCTGTTTCGACTGAACCTTCAACCACTCTGTCTTCGCTCCTGAACCTCTCCCTTCACTGTAACTGTAAAAGAAGAAGAAAGATTAATGAGACTGAACTACTTCGCCTCTCTCGAATTGAACAGTAACCAAGGGAAATAGGTGAATGTGAGTTATTCGAAGGAAGTGATTGTGAACCTCTCTCTATTTTTGAGGTCATTGAACTAGGTAAAGCAGCTAAGGATTGAATGGAATCTCTTCTTTCTTGAACTAGGTAGGGTTGAACTATTCTTCTTTCACCTATTTATTGGTCTCTTTTCTTTCCATGTGGGTTGAACAGCTGAGCACCTTTTCCTATTTATTAAAAGACTGTAAACGAAGAGAAAGAGAAGCGACTTCCCCTTATACTCTATTTATTCCCTTGCCTTCTTTTTCACTCGGTAAAGCTGCTGAGCTCCCTGATTTCACTCCTTTACCTTCGCCCCTGAATCTATTTATTCCTTTTCTTCTCATGATCCTAGCCCTACTTACTTCTTCCCCTTTACAGTCGAGTAAATTCATTCAATCCTTCTTTCACTCCTGAACCTATCAGTCTCATTGCTGCGCTCCTCTCTATCTTAGCCTTTCTAAGATATGGAACCACTACAAGGGGAGTAAGATTCGGATTACCTTGTTGATCGAATATCTCAAGGCAAGAACATTGTTTGAGATTCGAATCACTCCACAAGCAAGATCGATCATGTCTAGCTTGAATGATTCTTGTTGATCAAATATCTCAAGGCAAGAACACTTGCTTGAGGTTCGAATCACTCCGCAAGCAAGATTGATCATGTCGAGCTTGAATGATTCTACATGCAACCTAAACTACATAGAATTGCAAAGAAACTTAGCCATTGGCTAGAGAAGAGCACGAATGCTTCTTTTACTATATTTTTCAAGTCTCTTACAAATACAACATACATGGCTTTATATAGCCTCAAAATGAAACTACTAAAGTCATTCCAAGAGTTGTAACATTCATACTTAATGGCCATAATTAACCATTATGTAATTGTAACCTAAGGTAAATAAAATGTCTTAAAATATCATAAATGAAAACTACTCTAAATTGTAACCCACCCAAAATTTATAACAATCAAACTTCATTCTTCTTCAATGTGGCATGAATTGAAACATCTTTTGATAATTTTGACAACCTTTTCTTCACATCTTCATTGAAGTATATTGTATGATTGATGTCTTTTGGTTCATATCATTCTCCACTTCTTCAAGAGGATCCGTCCTCGAATCTATTTGTGAAACTTTGCTGCAAAAAATAAGTTATGGAAATACAAAGGACCTCACAACACTCTCTCACGTGTATACACTCAAGGAATTTTAGGCCACTCTGTTTGCACTCATTTACACAAATGAATCTCTCATCCTCACCTCTCAAATTTTCTAGTAGAGCCCAGATTTGATTTTCTTTATTTTGGGTCGATTAAAAACTAAAAAGATAAAAACAAATTGAAAAGAAATGCAAAGGAAACATATATCCGATCTTGAGCCTTAAGCTCTGATACCAAATGATAAGATATGGAACCACTTCAAGGGGAGTAAGATTCGGATTACCTTGTTGATCGAATATCTCAAGGCAAGAACATTGTTTGAGATTCGAATCACTCCACAAGCAAGATCGATCATGTCTAGCTTGAATGATTCTTGTTGATCAAATATCTCAAGGCAAGAACACTTGCTTGAGATTCGAATCACTCCACAAGCAAGATTGATCATGTCGAGCTTGAATGATTCTACATGCAACCTAAACTACATAGAATTGCAAAGAAACTTAGCCATTGGCTAAAGAAGAGCACAAATGCTTCTTTTACTATATTTTTCAAGTCTCTTACACATACAACATACATGGCTTTATATAGCCTCAAAATGAAACTACTAAAGTCATTCCAAGAGTTGTAACATTCATACTTAATGGCCATAATTAACCATTATGTAATTGTAACCTATAGTAAATAAAGTCTTAAAATACATAAATGAAATACAATAACTCTAAATTGTAACCCACCCAAAATTTATAACAATCAAACTTCATTCTTCTTCAATGTGGCATGAATTGAAACATCTTTTGATAATTTTGACAACCTTTTCTTCACATCTTCATTGAAGTATATTGTATGATTGATGTCTTTTGGTTCATATCATTCTCCACTTCTTCAAGAGGATTCGTCCTCGAATCTATTTGTGAAACTTTGCTGCAAAAAATAAGTTATGGAAATACAAAGGACCTCATAACACTCTCTCACGTGTATACACTCAAGGAATTTTAGGCCACTCTGTTTGCACTCATTTACACAAATGAATCTCTCATCCTCACCTCTCAAATTTTCTAGTAGAGCCCAGATTTGATTTTCTTTATTTTGGGTCGATTAAAAACTAAAAAGATAAAAACAAATTGAAAAGAAATGCAAAGGAAACATATATCCGATCTTGAGCCTTAAGCTCTGATACCAAATGATAAGATATGGAACCACTTCAAGGGGAGTAAGATTCGGATTACCTTGTTGATCGAATATCTCAAGGCAAGAACATTGTTTGAGATTCGAATCACTCCACAAGCAAGATCGATCATGTCTAGCTTGAATGATTCTTGTTGATCAAATATCTCAAGGCAAGAACACTTGCTTGAGATTCGAATCACTCCACAAGCAAGATTGATCATGTCGAGCTTGAATGATTCTACATGCAACCTAAACTACATAGAATTGCAAAGAAACTTAGCCATTGGCTAAAGAAGAGCACAAATGCTTCTTTTACTATATTTTTCAAGTCTCTTACACATACAACATACATGGCTTTATATAGCCTCAAAATGAAACTACTAAAGTCATTCCAAGAGTTGTAACATTCATACTTAATGGCCATAATTAACCATTATGTAATTGTAACCTATAGTAAATAAAGTCTTAAAATACATAAATGAAATACAATAACTCTAAATTGTAACCCACCCAAAATTTATAACAATCAAACTTCATTCTTCTTCAATGTGGCATGAATTGAAACATCTTTTGATAATTTTGACAACCTTTTCTTCACATCTTCATTGAAGTATATTGTATGATTGATGTCTTTTGGTTCATATCATTCTCCACTTCTTCAAGAGGATTCGTCCTCGAATCTATTTGTGAAACTTTGCTGCAAAAAATAAGTTATGGAAATACAAAGGACCTCATAACACTCTCTCACGTGTATACACTCAAGGAATTTTAGGCCACTCTGTTTGCACTCATTTACACAAATGAATCTCTCATCCTCACCTCTCAAATTTTCTAGTAGAGCCCAGATTTGATTTTTTTTATTTTGGGTCGATTAAAAACTAAAAAGATAAAAACAAATTGAAAAGAAATGCAAAGGAAACATATATCCGATCTTGAGCCTTAAGCTCTGATACCAAATGATAAGATATGGAACCACTTCAAGGGGAGTAAGATTCGGATTACCTTGTTGATCGAATATCTCAAGGCAAGAACATTGTTTGAGATTCGAATCACTCCACAAGCAAGATCGATCATGTCTAGCTTGAATGATTCTTGTTGATCAAATATCTCAAGGCAAGAACACTTGCTTGAGGTTCGAATCACTCCGCAAGCAAGATTGATCATGTCGAGCTTGAATGATTCTACATGCAACCTAAACTACATAGAATTGCAAAGAAACTTAGCCATTGGCTAAAGAAGAGCACAAATGCTTCTTTTACTATATTTTTCAAGTCTCTTACACATACAACATACATGGCTTTATATAGCCTCAAAATGAAACTATTAAAGGCATTCCAAGAGTTGTAACATTCATACTTAATGGCCATAATTAACCATTATGTAATTGTAACCTATAGTAAATAAAGTCTTAAAATACATAAATGAAATACAATAACTCTAAATTGTAACCCACCCAAAATTTATAACAATCAAACTTCATTCTTCTTCAATGTGGCATGAATTGAAACATCTTTTGATAATTTTGACAACCTTTTCTTCACATCTTCATTGAAGTATATTGTATGATTGATGCCTTTTGGTTCATATCATTCTCCACTTCTTCAAGAGGATCCGTCCTCGAATCTATTTGTGAAACTTTGCTGCAAAAAATAAGCTATGGAAATACAAAGGACCTCACAACACTCTCTCACGTGTATACACTCAAGGAATTTTAGGCCACCCTGTTTGCACTCATTTACACAAATGAATCTCTCATTCTCACCTCTCAAATTTTCTAGTAGAGCCCAGATTTGATTTTCTTTATTTTGGGTCGATTAAAAACTAAAAAGATAAAAACAAATTGAAAAGAAATGCAAAGGAAACATATATCCGATCTTGAGCCTTAAGCTCTGATACCAAATGATAAGATATGGAACCACTTCAAGGGGAGTAAGATTCGGATTACCTTGTTGATCGAATATCTCAAGGCAAGAACATTGTTTGAGATTCGAATCACTCCACAAGCAAGATCGATCATGTCTAGCTTGAATGATTCTTGTTGATCAAATATCTCAAGGCAAGAACACTTGCTTGAGGTTCGAATCACTCCGCAAGCAAGATT